ATTATAGAAGGATTGTAAACATTCCAGAAAATTGATCAAATTGAAAATAGTTCATTTGATTCTCGGCAATTCTCATCATTCTTAGCGGTAGGTTTTATATAACAATTACTATGGTTGTTGAAATACTGAATATAAATGGAGTTTGCTTGCAAAATCCTTGCAGGCAAAGTCGCGGGTAACAGCTAGTCCAAAATATAATCCATTTTAAAAAATTAAGTTTCAAGTTTTCCTATTATATTTTTGTCAGTTTCTAAGATTTTCCAAGATAATTTAATTTCTAGATATTCACCAATTTCCTATGCTTTAATATTTTATATATAAATGTTTTTAAATTCAGTTAATGATTTTATATCGATTACCAATATTCACTCTTCCTCCATTCAGTCCCTTCATAGCAATTGAAAATCCTTCTCCTTCATTTCCTATTCTGTTCTCTACAGGAATTTTACAATCTTCTAAAATCACGGCACGAGTTGGTTGAGAATTCCATCCTACCTGACAAGTAAACTTTGTATAGCTTTTAAACAATCAAAATGTTCCATTTAAAAATATAAAATATTTTATTTAAAAATTATAGTAATATTTCAAAAATTCAAATATCTATAGGTTATCATTCATTTTATCTAAAAATCATTTGCATGGATTTTGAAGAGTTAATTATGTTTAAACTAATAATACCTTTTTCTCTTTTTTGCCAAAACTAAGACCTGGAGTTCCTTTTTCCACAAGTACACAAGATATCCCTTTAGGTCCAGGTCCTCCTGTTCGCACCATTATGACATAAACATCACTGGATCCTCCTCCACTAATAAAAGCTTTACTTCCATTCAAAATATAATAATTTTCTTCTTTTTTTGCAGTTGTAGAAAGTGATGCTGCATCACTACCACTACCTATTAAAGCAGAAATGTCAATTTACTCATAAAATAATAATAAACTATTAATAAAATTGATATACCAGGTTCAGTTAAGCAATATGAAGCAAACTTTTCCATAGAAGTTAAAGAAGGTATCCATTTTTTTTTCTGTTCTTCAGAACCAAACTCATCAATCATCCAAGTACACATGCTGATGATAATTATAAATTTTTTTTTATTTGTAATTTTTCATTTTTAAAGACAAGAATTTCAGCAAGCATACTTATGTATAGTGATGTAAGCAGTAGTACTAACACATCCAGCAGCTAAAGCCTCAAAAATGACAGAAGCATCAACTCTATTCAGTCCAGAACCACCATATTTATCTGAAACGTAGACACCGCCAAATCCCAAATTTGCAGCTTTGCGGAGTGTGTCAACAGGAAATATTTCCTGTAAAAAATGTTTATGCATAGATACATAATCAAACACAAATTCTTCAAAATAAATGCAAGTCATTAAATATATAACAAAATTTAAAAATGTCAACAAATCAGTATGATTCCTTACATATTTGAATAATGTGATTATATTTTATATTAGATTTTCATTAGTTATTTCTAATTAGGATGATGATTGTATATATTGTTAGTGTATAAACTTTTCTTATAATTTTATTGTGATTTTAAAATTTGCAACAAGTGACTACAAAAAGCATATTTTTCCTATCTTTATATTGCGATGAAAAAAAGTAACTATTTTCAGCATTGATATGTTTTAAACTAAAAACCATATTTTACTTGCCCTTTTCAAAACCAAAATTTATTAAAATTTTAATTATAAAGTAAGTACAAATAACTTACATACTGTATAGAGAAGAAAATACAAGTAATTGTTCAAATGAATTTAATTAATTAATCTGATTGATAAATGGCATTAGAACTTAGCTATAATTGTTATTAGTTATCTACTGTATAAATAATAAATTGTAGAAAAAGACATCCTTACAAAATAACTCAAATTCATGGAAAAATTAGTTCATAGCAAAAAAAGGCTTTATTAATGTTAATTTATTCTAAATTTTATATTGGTTTATCAAATTACTCTTTAACTATTTTCATTCACTGAATAACACTGTATTCACAGTTTTATTGCATTATGTTATGCAGTGAAACCTCATTAATGGACACCCCCAAATAGTGGATACTACTACTTAACAGGCATTTTTACAATCCCCAGACTCTTCAAATAGAACATTTATAATATTTACCTCTAAATAATAGATGCTGTCATCCATAACCTACCTTATGAACACACAAAGTCCAGTCTTCAATATTCTGAAAAGAATTAATTACATACGAAATATTTTAAAATCAAAACAAAGAATTGGTTCAAATACTCTTTCAGAGGATGAATTTTGACCATAGGCATTGAATAAAGACTGGTTTAAAATAGGAATAAGGGAGGAGGGCAGGTTGTAAAAAGCCAAACAATATTCTTTACATGTTAGAAAAGACAAATCTGGTTAAGTGACAACTTAACCAGATTTGTCTTTTCTAACATTTATTGTCATATATATTAATGTTATTAAACTTCTGTCTTATTATTGGAATTAAGCTTATGTTATCAAAAAACTATAAATTTTTCTGAAGTTATTCATTCATTTGATAAGAACTATAGTACAGTATTCAGTATTATTTATTAAAGTACAAAGTACATACTTGGTGTTGCATTAAGCATGACCAAGGTAAAATACAAAGAGATACTATAAATATGTGACAAAGTAGTGAATATACAATAGAGTAATATATAATATAATTATAATACAAAACAAACATAAGCACTATAAAATACAGAAAAAACAAAATAATACAAATATAATACAAGTTACAAAGACAAAACATAAAATACATATGTATGAAATACAGAAACTGGAGTTAAAATATATACAGTAGACAACAGTATAGTTGGGAGTTACAAGTTATGAGATTAAGCCGTTACAAGTGACATTTGGCAGAATTTCTTCACCAGTCCAGAGAAGGCAAAGTAGATTTGGTTGTTCACAAATAGGTCAGAGTGACAGCATGGCCAAGGGATGTCAAAGTTCTGTAATAGAAGTCTAATCTCCAGATGCTCTGCTTCAAGAATGAGACAGTCAAAAACGTAACAAGTCCTGCTGTCCTCAATTTAACAAAAGGGGGCAGAGATGTGAAGGATGATGGGTAAAGTGGGAGAGATAGGTGCTGAACTTTCCATGTCCAGTAAGAAACTGAGTTGTGTGATAGCTTGGCACAAACCAGTCAAGCTTCATAAAGTCACTAATGTTTGGTATATAGGTATAGGTAATGCAGGTGTTGTTATTGTTCCACATGTCTTGCCAGGATGAAAGGGTGTTCTCCAGAGAAGCTGGCATAAGGTGTGCTTGCTTATCTTGTCATAGATAACAGGGATAGTATTGTCCTTGGTGGCTGCTTTGGCAAGCTGGTCAGCATGCTCATTACCAGGAGTGCCCTGATGGGCACGTATTAGTAGTGCTGTTGATGATGTTCCTGATCTCAGTGGCAATAGGGTGTAGATTATTGCCCTTGATTAAGGAGTAAGCAGATAAACAGTCAATGATGATTTGGACATAACTGGAGGAATAGTTGTTTGTGGATAAGAGGAGGGCCATTTTAATGGCAAGGCGCTCAGCCTGGAAAACAGTGCATAAGTGGCTGAAATGATATTGTTGGAAGTGTTCTTTCGACCTGATTGGTGTAGAAAATAAAATGCAGACGACGGAGTCGTGAATTTTGGACCTGTCAGTAAAGATTTCCACATTATGGGTTTGTGAACTGGAGTTATCGAGATTGTTCAGATCATTTTCACAGGGAATAGTATTGGACAATGGATATGGAGACTCATAATTGTAGGAGTTGATCAGTCCAGCACTGGAATTAATTTCTTTTCCCTGTTTGATGTTTGTATCTTCCCGTTAAGCTGGATAATCAGTACTTTGAATGTATGTCTCTTTAATCCTAAATTAAGTTTGGTAGACTATCATTACAGCTTTCATAAGTGATATCTGAATAATCAGGTCAATGGGAAACTTCCTGTGATTTGAAGCGGTGCAATAGCATTTAGTAATGAGCATAAGTGCCCATTGTTGAAATGAGATAGGTCTTCATTTGATGTGGACTTTGTTAGATGCCCAGCCCCAGCTGCCACAGGCATAAGTGACGATAGGAATATAAATCTGGTCATAGATTGTGCTCATGGCACCAGATGAGAGACCACAGGTTTTTCTAGCTATCTGTGCAAATGCCTACATGATTAATCCCATAGGATTGGTGACAGTTTCAACATGGGTGTCCCAGGAGAGATGATGGTCCAATATCAGGTGTTTTGCTATTTTGATGTTTTTACCACCCATCTTGATCTGGAGGACCCTTAAATAAAGATTGGGTTGGCCAGATTTATTTAGTACAATGCCTTTAGTTTTGAGAGGATTAAAGTTCAGTTTGTGTTTAATTCCCCAGTTATGGATTTCCCTTAGCATGTAGTTGCCTCTGTGTTTGAAGTCAGCTTTAGAGCAACCCCTCCATCAAGACCAAGACATCATCAGCATATGCTATTAGTTTATCCTGACCAAAGTTCTGTTAGAGGAAAATGTTGAACGTGATGTTCCAAAGGAGATGTCCATAGGCAGAGCCTTGCAGACATCCTCTGAAGATCCTTTTTTTTTTTGAAATGATGTTGGCCCTTTTGTAGAATGATGTACCTGTTGTTCAGATAGTCTTTCATGATGTGGTACAGATTGGGGGGCAGTGGAAGTTTCTCAATTGATATAGAATGAGGGGCCACCAGGTGCTGTCAAAGCCTTGTAAATGTCCAAGCTGACTGATAGCACATATTTGTTGTCATTCAGGAGGTCTTTATTCGTTTCGATGGCCATATAAATAGCATCCTCAGAGATCCTTGGGATTGCCTGGTTTAGGAACTGTAGTACAGTAGTAATGAAAAAGAAAGTTTTACAACAGTGTTTATTTGAGAAAGTTCAAAGGTTGTGTTACAAAGGCAATTTGCTGATCACTTTAAAGTAGTTTAAGTGTAGGAAGATATTCAGTTTACTTACATTTATGATGTAATTTATAATCTTAACAGCTTTTTGATGTCTAAAGTGTAATTTTTAATAAATCAGTTATTGAAAAAAGCAAAATGTGTTTGAAAAATTAACCTACTTGACTACAAAATAGACAAATCACTATATCAATTTTATTAGTCGCTTAGATCATAAATGACTTTATAAATGCAAGAATGCCAAATACCTTTCTTACCCTTGAAGTGGCTAGCAAATTGCCTTCATAACTCAACATTTAAACTCTCGTTGCCTAAACTGACTTTTGTCCACCTTTCTGTTCATAATAAGTTACATTTTTCTTTTTTGTTACTTCCGCTCAGGTTGTTTTTGATGAATTAATAATTAATCAGCGTTAACATTTTGTCGTAACTTTTATGCTCCATTTAATTAAAGTATCCTATACAATCTCTTTGATATTTAGAATTTAATTAATGTGAGGGACGAACAGACCCACAAGAAAGTGTTATTTTAAATTTTAATTTGGAAAATATAATCGGTTAAATTCGAACGTTTTATCGAGTTAGGCTAAAAGCCATAAAATTTATTTCCCACGGAGTTTGTTCCTTGTTGAGTCGAATCAAGTTAGTCAGGGATGTGTCACCAGGAACTTTTGATGGAGAATCCATATTGGACGTGCGACCGTTAAAGGCCATCACCTGACCTCATGGAAAAAACCCAAGAGGAAAAAAAAAGAGAAAAGAAAACGATCCCGAGGTCAGTCGTCATCCGAAGTCCCTCTACAGAAGTCGTCATTCAAAGCCCGCCCAACCAAGTCGTCCTCCAAACCATTAAAACCGTGCCCCAGGATTAAAACCGTAACACCGAATTAAAACCGCGACCAGGATTAAACCCGAGAAAAACATTCGTGCTGGATTAAGCCTCTACACTCCTCCGTGCCTCCACCCCAGTGAACGGACAAGATTCTGATTCAAGATTCAACGACAAGATTCAAAGAACTGTCCATCCAAGAACTGTCCATTCAAGATTCAAAGAACTGTCCATCGACAAGGTATTTATCAACCCGCGATTCGGTTGTAAACTCTCTCTCTCCGCGGCCTAGTATAGTTAAGGACAATAATATGCCGATAGTATTTAGTATCTCTGTATAGTATTTAGTTCGACTTAATTAAAATCGTTATTTACTTGTTACTATGGAGTCCGAGTAAGTTACTTCCGCGTCTCTCTCCTCACCTCTACTAAGAATCCAAGCGCTCACACGCTACCGCTCGCGAATCTTTAGATGTAACGTCGCGATTTCCGAGTCCCTCAGAGACTCGGTGGTGTCAGATTCAGTCCTCCTGACAGGGCGCCAAAGAGGTGCCGACCCTACGGT